AGAATTCAATATAATAATTAATAATATTATTCAAAACGACTAGAAGAATGCGATGTATTCCCAAAAACAGACACTAACGCGTTCGGGCCGTTTATGTCTTGTTTCAAACTTTTATCAACCTTGGACCACACCCAAAAAAAAAAAGATACACAATAATAATCTAATTAGTCCGCCGCCGTTGACACCACCACACCCACTCTCAAGGGAAAAGATTCGTCTTATCTTATGACGATGCACAGTAGGTATAATTATATAATATATTATTCTGTGACGTTTTTGCCGACCATGTGCAACGATACTACGATTATAACAAGGGGCATACCGGTATAGCAGAATAATAATAATATTATTTATGTTTAAAGATATAGTAAAAAGTGTATAATATAGGTAACCTTGACTGTATTTTAGACGTCTGGACGACAGAAAACGGAGTTGTACGACCGTAGTAAAACTATTACGAGTATATACGCGTGGTGTGTAAAACACGGAAAAGGAAATAAGCAAAGACGAATTTTGTGATGATTAAATTTACGGTTGTCGTAAAAAAAGTATAATAGGTACTTATATATATATATATATATATATATATATATATATATATATATATATATAAGTACTTAATTATATTATTATATACTAAGTAAGTATGCTCTTAAAACTACAAGAGACCGTGGAAAGGCTGTAGCACTTTTTATCAATGTACTGCGTTACACGCCCAATAATTATACAATAATATGATTACAAAAATATTTTTTGAAAAAAATTACTTAATTAAAACATAAAAAAAATAAAAACAAATAAAAAGCAGTTAAATAAGTAACTGTTCTGTAATACAGTAGTCATCTCGTTATTGTATTTCTTGTATTCTTACCGACAAAGTACAATATTATTTGAATAATAATTTTATCATTTTTTAACAAACAATACATTTTTATTGATTTTTTTCCCATTATTTAAAAAAGTATTGGAAAATTTCTACTTTCCAGTCTCTCTTTTTCGCCCAAAAATACAAGCTAGATATACATTTATACCAAAAATCAAAGTTGATTATCGATGCATTACAATAAAAAAATTGTCTTCAGATTTAAAAAATACACATAATTATTATAAAATCGATATTCAGAATTTAAAATACTTAAAATGGTAGTTGTAACCAATTTGCACGTGTATAACCCAATAAGTTATGGACCGATTCGTGAACTTTTTTTTTTCACATTTCCTTACAAAGATTTTACTGCAATAAAAATTGCAATAGATTGTAGTTTTCTGCTGCAAATAATCGAATAGGTACTGCGTGCTCGTGTAGAATCTCTCATCTCAAAATATATTTATTCTACGGAAACGTCTATATTATTTCTTAAAGTTAGTTCTTATAAAATCGACCTTCGGTTTTATTTCAGTTCAAGTCGTCATATTATGTACACGCCAGGCACCCAATGGCGCTGGACAAGGAATGGCAATTTCAGAGACCTTATATTGCGCCCCGGCGCGTAGACTGCAAAAAGGAAAACCGTATTAAAGGCGCACTCCATAATCGTTTGTGAACGGCCAACTAACACCTTAACCCCATTTGTGATGATTTGTGTGGAAAATCGATAAGAAAACACGACACACTTAACGACGAACGCATTACGGACGATCGTTTTCAATAATATTTCAGCTGCAGTGCGTCGTACGACGTCGCGTGCGCGTATTCCTATGTTATAAAACAATATCATACAGAGTGGTTTTTAAATCGATTTTTTTTTAGGAAAAAATGTATATACGCAGTGTGGGGCAATAAGACAAAGTCATAGCTTGTCTAATATATACGTATTATTAGTTGGAGTTTATATTATTATTTTAAATGTAGTTAGCTTTAATTGATATCTTATTAATTAAAATTTCTATAATTTTTGTTTTTACCTCATCGTAGGTGGAAAACGCGGATTTCCGGTAAAATACATCGTGTCCCTATAGAAAATAATCGCTTCAGCGCATCACCGGATATTGGGTTCTCGGGGGGAACGGATTTCGGGCAGCTGTAACAATAGAATTATATTATAATATTTATGTGTATTATACATATCCATGAGCTACTCTCCAATGCCGTCAATAAAATTATTTATACACGTTGGGACATGAAATCCGTTTCTTTGCTGAAAGCGTGTTTTTTAAAATCTTGCTGGTTGCTGAAAGAGGATACAACCACTACAAACTATAATAAATAGATAATATTCCGGTAAATACACTCGAAATGAATAAAATCACATGCATCACAGTAAATATGAAATAATAAAGGCATCTTTTAGTTTTTACTATCTTTATCAAAATATTAACTTGTGTATAAAGTGAATCTTTTAGATCCAAATGCTCATTTTCCTGAATATTTGAATATTTTTAGAAATATATTTGTTTCTATAATTTAAGTCATTAAAAATGAAAGAATAACATTTATAAAAATGTTTTTTATTATCATATTTTTTCACATTTTTTTTTACATTTAGCGTTAATTTTTAATTCCATGCGTTTAATTATTATTTATGATTAATTAAAACTGCTTTTGTTCAAAACTTTATTTTTAAGTAGTTATTGGAATTCTCAAAAAAATTATTCTGTTTATAGAAATACGACATAAAACATTTCTGCTGTCTTTTTAAATGTATTTAAAGATTTAAAATTATTTCTGTTTATACCATTCTGTAAAATGAATGTTTATCTTTAAAAAATCATCTTGTATAATAATATACCTCGAATATATTATAGGAAACGTGTGAATGATGTATATTATTATGTCGATACTGTATTATTGATTTAACGAATATGTTAACCATAGGTACTTATAATTGAAATATTATTCTCAAAAGTCACGAAACGTGTCTGTCTGCAGATTTTAAAGAATAGAGAAATGTATAAATTTGTCAAAGTATTTTTAATACTCGATACTCGATACAATTGATTACATGCGTGTGTAATTATGCATATAGCTCTAAACTTAAAATAAATGTATTAATCATTTTGTTAAGTGTATTTTATAGGCTAAAATGAAAATGTGAGAATTTTTACTTTTAAATCTATCTAGTATTATTTCAGGTTTAAATGAAATATATTTATAGTTATTTTAATGACGTATCCATTGATCTTTTCAAGCACTTTGACTATAATATAATTTAGTAAGTCATAAATTATTCGTTTTAAACAACTGTTGGACATAACATATTATTTTTTATAATAAGCAGTAAATAGTTATGTAAGTACTTACTAATCTGCTGGGAATAAATATAAATCGCCTAAAACGTATATTGCAATATCATACTGGCACGTTTAAACAATAATTATATAAAATTTACTACAATGGTACTTATAGTTTCCGCCTTCTGGAAGATATTTTAGTAAATATTTAAATACATCCAAAGGTTTTGAATAATTATATATTTTTAGTCAGTGGCGTAAATCTATAAAAATTATTATTGGTATGGAGGATATTTAAAAAAGTTTAGGACATAAGTTGTATTTTCTAAGAACATACTTTTTAAAACTCATCATTTATATTTTATTGTTAGTCATAGTTTAAATTTAATATTTGAAATTCTATTAGGTACTAAGTATGTGTATTTTCATTTATTATTAAAGGATAAAACATTTTTGTTTTTTTAAAATTCTTAATTTATGAATAATAAAATTATGCTTACTTTAAATATATAGGTAAATCCGTCGACTAATAGTTTCTATAGACTATAATATAATTATTAATCAACATAAAAGAATACTAAACTTACTGTACTAAATACTTATAAAATATTATGCATATTACTATACAATAGAAATATAAACAAATATATAATTTAAATACATTAGGTAAACGCTTACACCAAAAGTTATTAATTATTATTGGTGATTAGAATATATCTTAATAAAGTTATAAATTAAAAATCGATCATGAAAATTATTATATGGGGGGGGGAGGGTGTATGCAAGTTCAAGTGTGACCAAACCTTTAAATAAGCAACATTATTTTCACTTTTTAGCAGCACACAAATTAGCTTTGTACGTAAAGTGGTATCAATGCGTTTATATTGGTATTTTATAGCGCTCAAGTATTTATTTTTATAATGGAATTTTAATATAATTGGTGAAAAATTATAATATTACTCCTTTACAGATAAATTATTAACATACTCCCATCTCAATATTTCATACATTATTACTATGCATTGAACGACACTTTGATTTCGTAAAAAAAAATATTATAAAAATAGTAATGTTATTTGTATTATAATATAAACGGAAAGGTGTTATGTCTTTGTTTTATGGTTCAATATCCATTCTTATTATATTCATTTAAAAAAAAAAAAACTTATCTTAAGTGATACTAAATGGAAATGTATCAGTTATATTATCTTTTTAAAGATACACATAGATACTCATCACGATATAAATTACGCATAGAATTATCAATTAGAAAAAAAAAATAATGACAAGTTAAAAAAAAAAGACATTTAAACGTATAACTTGTACGAGATGTAAACCTACTGAAGTTTTTCTGCAGTAAAAATGATAATAATACGATACAAGTTTTACATTATTATGCTTTATACAGATATTTTACATAATTACATAAATCACACTATTGTAATATTACGCGAGAACATGGACTTCGATTGAAATGCTATTATATAAAATAATAATATAGTTATTGTTATTTAAGTCATAGATATAATTTATACTGATTTAAAAAGATACAATAACAAATTGACAGGTTTGCGTAAAAAAAAAAAAAATAATAAATAGGTAACATGGTAGGTTTATATTATAACAAAAATTATACAAAAGTAAACTAATGACAAATAATAATATTATTATAAGTGTAATTATTTATATATTTTTATTCAGTTATTTGGTGACAACTAGTTATGCAATAATATTACTAAGCCATCAGTATCGACATAAAAAAAAAAATGATATTAATTGTAATTAATCATGAATAGTAATGTTATCACAAACCGTAATTAATCAAGCTAATTTGAATTAAGTTGTTTGATAAGAAATCTATAATGATTAGATGTGGGGTAAAAATACCTAATATAGTTGAAGCCTTTATTCGTATATAAAAAAAAAAAAAAAATGAAAAAAAATGATAACAATATTACTGCATCGCAAGTAGCATGCCATGGTATATTATAATATACGTATGTATATTTTAGATTAATGAAGTTTTCGTTTTCGTTACCTATAACAAATAGGTACGGTTTTGTAATTAATTATCATTCGTACGACGATTTTAAAAAAGACTCATCTGTTATATGTATATATATATATATATATTTATGTGTGTGTGTGTGTATTCCACCTATACACATATAGTGGATTATATAATATACATACATTTCGCGTTCTTAGGACAACACATGCCGTCCAACACAACGCCACCCCCTTCTTGTACAGCACGTTGACATCCAAAGTCCATAAAACCCCGAGCCGACTCGTATACATATAGAGCATTAAGGTAATTTGGTGAGCGGCGTTATCACGTTTGGCGATCACATTACCACATGTCAGGCGATGATTAATAATTCAATGCTACAACTGTACCGGTTTTCCTTGTCAATTAAATACGCGACAGTAATATTCGGTATTGTATCGTATAATTTGTTTCGATCGGATATTGTCGCATCTGAAACGCCATTGAGTCACGTGCGTGTATAATGATAGACGACATCGCGTCGACGAGCTTGATATAGCGTTAGTTTTTACCAAAACTTTCATCTACGTAAAAAAAAAAAATTCTATTTTTGGCTTTCTATTTTTTTTTTTTTTTAGCGCACATTAATAATTAATAACTATTATATTAGTCTCCTTATATCAATAACACAAAAATATACTTTTTTTTTTTTACATATAAAAAGGCACCAAGAATAAGGTTATTAACGTTTTCTAAGTCTAAGATATTACAATAGAAGCTTGTGGTTTTATACACTTTATTACACAAGTTAAATAACACAAAAACTATTCGTTTGAATTTTAATTTTGATACGATAAAATTTTTAGAAATAAATATCTAGTTAATAATTTAAAATAGAAAAGGGGTTCTCATTTAAAAATAAAAACTTGTTATTTCACAGGACACTCCTTAAGTAATACAAAAAATCTTAAGAACTTTAAAATATGATGTTTGAGTATATTTAAAAATTATGTTTTGAATAATTATTTTATTGATGAAAATATGGGACGATCATTATTACCAACTAATTATTTGTTTATTGGTTAAAATCATGAATATTCAAAAAAAAAATAAAATATTATTGATAAACAATAAAATGTTAATCAAATTTAATTAAACAAATGTATTTATGTATAGATTGCAGAGTGTAGGTATAATAAATTATTTAAATTATTACCATAATACGAATTAAAAACAAATGTTTTCAATGTAAACACCAGATTGCTTTTAGAAGATGAATTTTATATATAAAAAAAAAAAAAACAATTTGGATAATTTTAATTACCTAGTGATCGTTATTTTTTTCACTATACATATAATTTTATACTTGTTTTTTATCGTAACATTTTTCGTATCATAGAACATGTCATAATATACTTCTTTGAAGTGATGATATTATGGCTTATAAATTGTACTTTTTATTATTATTATTATAGGTACATACGTGTAATATGAAAGTAATCGTGCGACGACACCCTCTTTTATTACATAGGTAGTTTTTACTGTTTTCTATCCCGCTGCTTAGTAAATGACGTTAATTCTTTTGTTTATTCCTGCAGGCTAGAACAAAAGGTCAAAATAAACTTTTAGAAAAAATTATCCACTATGGAAATTATAAAGAATAATTTTTTGGAAAGAATGACATTTTTATTTGCCTAAATAAATGTTGTCTTAAAATAATTCAATAGCTAATTAGATTTACAAATTTTATTTTTATTTTTAGAGACAGATATTTATAAAATATAATACGGAATTTAAAATCTGCTATAAGTTTTGTGATAAATAAAAAAACATAAGATATTTCTACATGAATGCATTTTAACCATTTAGAATGTAGACCTGAGAAGGAAAACAAATAACTCACAAACATATTCTTAAGGAAATATATCTTTTCGTTGGTGTTATGTTACCGTGTAGTAATTCAGTTAATTTAATAAATAAAAATAAATTACTTTTTAATTTAAAAATGTATTGGACTATTACAGTTTAAATACAAAATGTTACGTTTTAAGTATCACATTATTATTGTGAGTAATATAAGTACCTACTTTAATGTAATAATGATATTTTAATATAGTCGAGATGGTAAATTCACAAAAACTTGATAAGCTACTTATATTGTTATTGTTGTTTTAAATAATAATAATGATGAAAAAAAAAACTATTTTGAATACATGCATTATCATATTATTATTATGTTATAATAATGCGTGTAGACAAACTACAAGTCCCCGAAGTGACATAATATAATATTATTATTATAGTTACAACTGTAAACCGTAAATATTTTTATTGTGATATTCATTTATTAGGCATATATACAATACAAACCGGAGGAGCGTCGTTGATTTTATAACCGTCTTTTTTATTTTTTTTGAAACGAATAAAAGAGTAATATTTTGGTAAAACAGATAATAATTGTTGTACCTATGCTATAACAAACCTCTTCGTGGATGATCGGACCGACAATATACCGTGACGAGGACGACGACGATCAGTAATCACTTGACCAAATCTACGTTTTAATTTCGTATTATACACCTATATATCTATTGTTTAAGTATGTATACATAAATAATCAATTTCAGGATATCCTGAATCCGTACCGGAAACGCGAAAAACCACAAGTTCCTCTGACCTACACATTTAGATTATTGTCGCCATCGTATACATATTATACCTACGACCATCACCATTGTGAAGTCCGGAAGTCGGAACCTATCTATACGGCCGTAAGACTATGATATATAGTAATCATCGTTCCGCGGACGCCGCGTTACGGCGTGCTGCACTCGCGACCACATTTGAAACGGTACACGGACGTATTTATTTACTAAATTATATATTATCGGATAGGGGAATTTTTCTTAAAATAAATTTAAAAAAAAGATGAAGAAAAAAGGTACATTAATAATAACAATATATTTAAGCTAAGTTAACAGTTTATCTAAAATATCTAAGAGTTATTTGAATTTCAATAACCAATAAAATATTAATATTTCGGACATTTCCGAAAATCATCCAAAATACACCACTAAAAATAATGTATGTTCATTGAATTTGTCACTATCTTGAATGGGTTATTTTAATTGAAAATCAACAATTTATATTTTTTATATGTTATATAATAACTATATTAACAAATTCAACGAATGTATTATGTGACTAATATTACCGCTGATTGTTGTATTATGTATAAGATATATTGTATATATATTGTATTATATAAAATATATATACCCGATCCTAATGCATAAATATTTTATTAAAATTTATCATCTTATAAATTATAGACAATATAATCTTTACACATTTAAATATAAGATTAATCAAGGCTCTTAGATGTCCAACGCTCGCGAAAAAAGGTCGTGGTAGCAGAATATTTTTGATCCCAAGCTAAACTAACCTCTACACGAATAAGTTGATAATATTATCGTTGTATTGTATTATATTGTCGTGTTCAAATTATTTTAGCAGTTTCGTAAAAAATAGTTCTTGAACGCGGGCACGAGCGTACAACTGTCGACTATAATTTTGTGCAACAACTGCTGTACTCTGTATTATATTGTGTATTATAATAAATTTCGTGGGCGACGATGACTTTGTGCGTCGGCGGCTTCGAGGGGATGAGCGCGGTTTAGGTGTTGTGGTCACGAAAGAACGAACCGCGAGTTTCCTTTTAGCCTAATTGAACTGTTGTTGCAGGGCTGGACGACGCGGCGGTGGGTCTGAAAACGACACATGTAGTTCTTATCATTATTGCGTGTTTTTAGATAGTTTCAAATTAATACAGACATGCCGATGGCGCTCGCGCTTTGTTTCCGAGTAGTACATGGCCCCGTGATGGTTTATAACAATATTATTATAACTGCATATGACTTTACCACCGGAATCGATCTTTATCATGATACCAGGTACGCGGTAGTAAGTCTGGATGTGTGGTGAATATGACGTACTATGCATACAATTATACATCGAAAAGTATAATAATTTTAGAATAAAATCGTTTCGTATGTTAAGAATCTCACGTCATATTATATTAGGCACACCGCTTAGAATCTGAAACAATATAATTATATATGAAAATGTAGGTATTACTTAATGTTCTTCTAAAACGTTACCAGTTGAATAACTTGTATTTTTAAAGTTTTTATTATACAATCCACAATCTGTAACAAATAAAATGATAAATGAAAGTTATGATCGATTTTAATATTATGTCTTGATAAAGACGGGTCTAAGAAGCCTTCCAATGAAAGCACTATATTGACAGTTATTTATATACGTTTATAATATTATTAGTAACATTTTGGATATTATAGATTATAAGTAAGTCCAGTTGAATAACTAATACGTTACGTTAAGTTGTTGAAATTTTTTTTTTCTTGGAATTATAATATAATATTAATCGTACATACGTTTAATTATATGGAACATAAAGTTCAAAGTAATCATTATTAACATAATATATTATGATGCAGTAAAATCATTCGAGTTATTATTTGATAAGTAGTACAACTCGCGGCTTGTGGTACAACAGCTATAAACTATAATAACACCTATAACTGCACATTTTTGTTATTGCTCAACACTAATACAGTACCTATACTAATAAGTTATAAGAAAGATTTGTAACTGCAATAGCAGAAATTTATCAAGTGTTTAATGTATCAAGAGGATACAAGTGGTTAAACATTTTTTATTAAATTAGTTAATAAATTTTCGAATTAGTGTAATTATAATTACTTAACCAGTTCAACTATCGAGAGTTATAATTTGGATTTATTCTGTCGATTTAAAAATAATACATCAAGTTATAATCATGTTTATCCTTATGAAATGCATACTTATATATAATGGTAATTATTTATTTATTATTTCTTAGTTTACCTAATCATGATGTAAAAGTATTAAAATGACTTAGATTGAAAATAAACGAATAATAAATATTCATTGATTAAGTTATTTAGTTGACATAAATATGTAATTCCTACACACAACTACAACTAGTGTGCAATAAAAAAATAATAATGGGATACATTTTAACAAAACATTATTTTTTAATTTAATTAACTCTAATAGTCATTTGCTAAAAAAAATGTAAATTTAATTACAGTTAATTACGAAAAACAACAGAATAAAGACAATAATAAAATCAATAATGGTATTAAAATATTGTTTTTTTGTAGACTTAAGTACGAAATATCGACTGCATACGAATTGCATCCCTGATATAAAAAATTGCGATTTGTGACACACTAATTGCATTCAGGGTTTTCTGTAATATTATACTAATTGCGTCACGACAATATTTAAAAACTACTACACGGACAAAAAATAGTTGTGAAGTTTTTCCGAGCCATAAATAATATTTTAATAACATATATATAACTTGCACACCATAACTTATATTTTTACTATTCTTTTTATCCTTTTATTTTTATATTTAACGACGAAAACAATATTTTTGATGTACATAATAACGAAACGATAAAAAACAATATTTTTAACTTACCTTAAGCAATATAATATTTATAATATTTATTTGATGTTGTTATTAAGTCTTAAGTCTATATTAAATGGGAAAGAAAATAATGTATTTACATCGCACGCAATTAGTATAGTTGTTAAATATTATCGGGATGCAATTCGTATAAAAAAGGGATTTTGGAACACAATTTGTTTGCACAGGAAATATCTTGGGTTATTATTGGCTATTAACATAATTTTAATAGTCCCAAATAGTTATAAATAAAACAAAAATTTAAAAAAAAATATGTAATTAAATTATTTTTAACCATGTTAATAAGTTAGTATTTTTATCTATATAAATTTTGAACTTACAGTTTATACGCTATAGAGCTCAATAAATAAAGTATTGTTTGTTAACGCACTTAATTATAATCTGACGTTCTCAACGTTGACTTGAATACCTCGATTTGATTGTTTTTTTCTATAACTTGCTCAGCTAGGGTTTTTAATAAACTTGTTTCGTGTTCTGCTTTAATTCTTAGCGAGACAAATATGTTACGATTTTTATACGTTTTTTAAATTTTTGCCCCGTATCCCGTCTTACAAGTGAGCGTGACAAGAAAATTTTGATTTTTTTACAACCACTTAGAGCAAAATATTTGTAACATCTAACATTCAAACAATATTGATTATTTTACTTTATTAAAGGTAATCGATTTATAATTTATTTCATTTTTTTTTTTTTTTAGTGCCCCGAATTTCGCTTTTTAATAAAATAGGACTTCACTATCCCGATTTTTTTACAATATTTCATATTAAAAAGTTGTGTGTCCCGCGAGTTAAAAAAAATGCCAACCCTATGCCCAGCCCTGTGTTTAAGTATAGATAGTTAGTACATAGGTATAGCCAGTAAGCTTACATAGATTATAATAATACGAGTGCCTATGTATAATTAGTAATCATTGTTATAATAATTGTCTGTATTGTATAATTAATATACGCGTGTTATAGAGTGTGCGTACATTATAATATTAATACGACATATCAAGTCATATACTTTTCCGACGGAACGGCAAAAATACCAAATTATTATTGACGCGTTAAGTACCCCATACACCATACACATATTTTGGCGAAATTGTTACAATAATAATACGTACGATAATTATTATAATACACGTACGTGAAATCGGTAGAACGCAGTTTATACTTCATAATACACGATCGACCTGTTCGCGGTGTTCAAACAAAGGGCGTGCTACGCGGCCGCGGAACCGTTCTCAGACGCGAAACAACGAAGGGAAGTGGCAATGCATAAACCGCATGTACAATTATGTACATCTCATAACGTACATGTCCGCAGTTTAGGGAGGGTCGAGTACTCGAGTGCCCTTTTGACATCGTTATCATGAGGTAAACTCACCTAATGATAATGGAAATAAATATATTATATAAATGTTCAAAATATTTTAAAGTATTTAATATTTAAACTATTAGTAATAAATATTTAATTGTATTTTACACAAAGATAGGTCTAACGTTATAAACTATAATATTTATAGATGTATTTACAATTATAAATATAACATATGTTATTCACACTTTTTTTTTTTTTTAATTAACTTAATGTAATTACTAATAATGACTCTCCACCATAAAATGTAAGTCTATGGTACTGTATGTCTGTGTATATGTTAACCAGACTGCGATAACACCTCAGTTATCTACGTATAATTCAACAGGGAAAAAACATAGGCAATCTGTTCATATCTATATGCACGTTGCACGGTGCAAATGTTAACGTGATGTCTTATAATATTTATTTATTTAATGTTATAGTTAAAAATCACAAGTGTGAAATTTACAATTCACATTTTTAAACGTTGGCATTTGGCATTTAAATTCTAAAAAAATAAATACGATAATTTGTTAATAGTATAATAGAAATTAATAACAAGAATCTTGTAAAATAAATGACAGATTTATAAATGAAAAAAATATGAGAAGTGTTAAACAGCGAAGAAGTTTATATAGGTAATGATTAGCAACTGAAGAAATATGGAATGGAATAGTTTGATGTGTATAGACTATAGACTTGTCTTAGGATTTGAAAAATATATGGAATAAAACAGTTAAAAAAAATGTTTAACAATATTTGGTTAAAATCACTCCCCTCCCCTACCGAAAAATATATAAAAACTAATAACAAAGTAACTTAAATACCATATCCTATTATGATTTACACATTATACTTATTTTTCTAAATTTGTGCTCGATTATTGTTTCTTGTGATTAAACATTATACGAGTACGTATTAAAACATTACGTACTACCTACTGGCTATTATATAATAATAATTATAATAGGAACATTTTGTTTTCAGTTATTCGCGTCGGTTCAGCAGAGGACGCAGCTGTCTCGTATGTGACGTTAACGGTTTTTAATGATTCCCCGTCGTCGGATACGCTTTTGCAAGAGAACTCAGCTTTATTATTAATATTATACTGTATCGTATCGATCCGTCGAACAATAACTGTACGCCTCTACTATATAGTAGATATATAAATGTATGATATACATTATACGCAATGTATCTGAGTAAAAAATATAGTACGAATATAGAATAAAGTACGAATTTCAGACAAATATACGCCGCAGAGCGATTGATTAGGCGTGTTTCGGATGCGTTAAACAAAAAAAAAAAAAAAAAAAACGAAACGAAACGAAACGAAACGCAGAAAAAAAAAAATAATAAAACCTCTATACAGTTTTCGGCCATTCAAACGTTCGAAATTGTTTTTATTATACAGGCAACATAGGTATATAGGTACACGTTATTGAGGCGAGTGTATGTAGTACGTACGATATTACGATATTATGTAAAGCGATGCGAAAGAGGTGGAAAGAGGCATGGAAAACGGATGGCGGTGGCAGCGATGGATCGGGTTAAAAAGGCAGGGGATGAGACCGGACACGCAAAAAAAAAACAAACTAAAAACTAAAAAGCCTCCCGGGTATTCGACCCGGTGAATATCCATGGCAACGAGCAGATTTTTTTTAACCACTCCTTTTGACCGACGACCCCGAGCGCATACACATACAATATAATACCGCCGCCGCTGCTGGTTCGGCGTACACACACTTTTCCCAAACAAGTCGCTTAAACAGTACTGACATTCCATTAAAATGGAAACTGTAGAATATACCTATACAATCGTAATAATAATAATAATAATGTATATAATACCTATATAGACGCGGATGAAAAAATGAAATAAAAAACGACGGAAATAAAATCGAATATAGAACTATACAATATACACATAAATATGTGCGAGTGTGTGTTATAAAAATGGTAAGAAGGGTGAATGAATGGTGGCGGGAGAGGGGTATGAGTGTTAGCTTTTGATTATACTCACCAAGTTCCAAATGCGGGTGCAAATAAAATATTACCTATACATATAAACGCACAGAATAGTCGATACATTTTTTTAATAACAGTCGCGTGCGTTTAAAATAGAAGTGTCGTTTCTGATGACTAGGCGAAGAAAAAATTGTATGTTTGCGATATAAAAA